TCATTGCTTATGTCTTTCCTGCTGTAAGGAATAATGAACGAGTGATGATGATTATACTATAATATATTTAAAAGGTTTATACATTAGAATATATCCCCATTATTTGTATTTAATATATATAATACAATAAGTAACTAGTATCTCAGGATATTAGTAAAGTCAAACACCCCCTTGGCCTCTCCAGACACAAATAGATGCAGTAGACGATAGACACAAGCAGATATATGCTATACTCTACTGAACAAAGGTTTTACACTTTTGACGTTTGATACACAAATACCTAAGCAATAGGCCTGTTCCAGATCCACCTCGACCGTCAACAAGTAACCTGAGACTTTAAAACTAGTGAACGTATTTCTCTTTAACTCGTTTATAATGTGTTAATCTTTACAGGAATCGTGCGCTACCATTCACGGATTAACTACGCTAAATCAAAGAGGTCCAAAAGTGTATGTGTGTATTATGCAAAACCAATATTATCCATACAGACAACTGGAAATATATATGCATGCACACACCTGCCAGACGTACACACACACCTGCCAGACGTACACACACACACACACCTGCCAGACGTACACACACACACACCTGCCAGACAAATAAATCATATACTAGACAACAACACGGAGGGTTCACTGTACACGTATTGCACTACTACCACTATCACCCCTCACCACCACCACTATTACCACCTCTCACCACCACCACTACCACCTCTCACCACCACCACTACTACCACCCCCCACCACCACCACTACCACCTCTCACCACCACCGCCACCACTACCACTACCACCAGTCTTTCCCTACCAATGCATTCTTCTCTTACCACCATCACCACCACTACTACTACTACTACTCCCACCAGTACCACACTCCTCCCTCCCTCCATCTATACCTACACCTCTCCCCTTCCCTCTCACCCAGTACCCCTCCCACCCCCCCTCCCTCCTTCCCCCCTCCCTCCCCAGATAGAAACAAAGGCGTAGAGGCAGGCGCTGGGCAGGTGTTTATCTCGGTAGCTCAGTGACATTTGTCTAAAAACTGGTGGGGAGGTGGGGGTGAGGGAGGTGGGGGGGGTGAGGGAGGTGGGGGAGGAGATGTGAGGAGGGGGGAGAGATGTGAGGAAGGGAGTAGAAGAAGGAGGGAGGAAGCATGTTGGGGAGGGGGAATTGATGGAGAAGAGGGAGGTGAAGAGAGTGGTGGAGGGAGGTGAGTATTGGGAAGGGGGGATATGGAGTAGGGGAGGAATGGTTAGGGAACGTGGGTTGGGATAGAAGTGTAGGGGGAGACGTGGTAAGAGCTGTGAGGTGGTGGTAGAGGGTAAATAATCGCTCAGCCACACATAAACACCCCCCTCCCCCCCTACTGTTACCCGACTCTTAGCAATACACCTTACAACATGTGTATGTGTGTGTGTGTGATTGGATGACCTTTCCATGCCATCCAGTGTGTATATAATAATAATAATAATAATAATAATAATAATAATAATAATAATAATAATAATAATAACTACACCACCAAGAACAAGAAGCAAGGTTTACAGCCGCAATTTGGGGTACACAGATTACAAAACACAGGATGACTCAAAGTTGCCGACGTTGACATGAAAAATATCATTATATATGTTGCTAAGAGACCGAATGTTCCCAGTTACGTCAATATATTGCTTAAGAGAACAGTTATACAAGGATTGGTCTTTACAGAAGTTTATTAATGAGTGTTGAAGTAATGTGAGTGTTATCCGACAGTCGTGTGTGTGTGAGTGATATGGGGGTGTTGGTTGGCATTGTTCAAACACACCCAAGACATAGTTTTCCTCGTGTTTGTTTCAATATTTGCAATTATAAGAGCTTGGGAGGCAGATAAGTTATATAGTAACACCCTGAGAATAATTCTTTTTTAGAATGTTTTTGGATTTTTTTCTGTTATTTGACTTTTCTTTGTGCTGTAGCCTAGTCGATATAACACTCGCTTCAAATCCTCAAGGTTTCTAGTTAGCGCACCGGATACACCCAGTCCATTCAGTCATGATGTGGATTTTACAAGAGGGGAAGCGAAGGCGACCGAGTGCCTCGTTTAGTAACTAAAGTTCAATATTCATTATGGTACATCTACACTTTCTCCTGCGTGAGCCTCGGGCGCCACGCTGGAGCTAAGTACTCTTATCGTGACCTCATTTACCTCATATAATTATAATGTAACACTTGAACACCCGAAATGTTTACCAAGGTACAGTACAGTCCCCTTCACTTGTGCGTTTACAGGAGCTCATCCGGTTTTGTGCAGTATGGCATCCCTGTGTTTGTTTACATTTGACAGAAGGAAACTCGCATTTGTAAACATACTATGGAATCAGAGTAAAGCAATATTACAACTAATAGCTCAATGTAATGATTGGTGGAATGTTTATATGACGAGCCCCTGTAAACACATATTTAAGGGAACTGTACATGATGAACATTGTTATGGCTGCCTTACTGGTTGTGTGTAACTTGATCCACTTCATAAACAATGGGCAGTGGGGTGTTATATATAGATTTACATGTGTGAGTTGGTTTGTATTTTCAATAGACAAAGGAACAAAACTTCACATTTATGAGAAATTTGGTTCGTGTTCACTGACATGTCTTTCCTAGCTTGACAAGAACTGGTTACGCTACAGGTGGAATTTGCCGCTTCTTTGGAAAACCCGCTGACCATAGCCAGCCCGGTCCCAGTCTGTTGACCCAGTCTGATAAAACAATCTGATATTTGATCCTGGGGAGTGTTATTCCTAGCCTATGGAAATAATTGTAAGTAAGGCCGTAAAATTCAGTTTCATGAGTACTGTGCATGTAGATTGACATATTACAGGCTTCGTTGACAAAATATTCCACCCAAGAAAATGATCAAAGTTTGACTATGAAATTAACTGTACCCTTTAATAAAATCTGTAACGACTTCCAAAATATTTGAAGAAAAGTTACTATAATATCTCTGTCTATAGAACTCACAGTAAGTAAACTGAATTACCTTCACTTGCCTTACCTGAGGGAAAAGAGCCAGGCGAGTGTTGGCTGACGTCATACTACCTCTTGATCACTTTTAATGTGATACCTTTGAGGATGATCAACAATTTATTTTGTCTACACCTTAGACTTCATGATCATGTTGCCATTATATTCTTAACTATTGTAATTTAATTATGGCGGACAATTCCCTTCGACATCACAACACCCACGTACCCGCCTAAACGACTGACCACACATAATCCTTATCTCCAACTCACTGCTAAAGTGAGAGCTCTTGAACGCACACACTTAACCTACAGACAAAATAACATCACACAGACCATCTACCTATACACTGACGGCTCTCTTAAGGACTGGAAGTGCTGCCATTGCGAGTTAGTCTAACGGTAATGTAATAGAGAAAGGAGCTAGAATAAGTAACTGGGCATCCACTCTACAAGCTGAACTATTTGCCATACTCACAGCCCTGAAACTTGTTGAAGACACTGCCACTGACAGTCTCATTATCACTGACTCCCTGTCCTCATTACTTGCGCTTGAGTCTTGATACTCTCAGCTAAACTCAAATTGGCACCCACTTGCCTCTGAAGTCAAACACAAGCATATGTGTCTTGTTGACGGGATATCAGGATGAAGTTGCTGTGGATCCTCTCTCACCTAGAGAGTTGATGCCTAAGGTAAACTCGCGTCCAACAATAACAATGTTGAATACAACCGAGGACTGCCAAAGAAAATGTTAAAAATTGTAATCAGAAAAGAACATGTTGATGAATTTGAAGCCAGTAGACAAGTGCAAACCCATTGTTTACCAGGATGAGATGCATCAAGTAAAACATTTATATGAAGCAAGTAATAAGATCACTAGATTACAAGATGTTGTAACCGCCAGACTAATGTGAGGATATAAGTACCTCTGGCATATGTCCCTCAATGTAAAGTGTGTGGCCAGACACATGGCCACACACTCCAAAACTACGTCTTAGACTGTGAAAAAATAGAACCTTATTGGGATAGATCCAAGCAAACCGTCTATGCAATAGCGCAGCACTTTATCTCTGATGACAAGATAGCTGGTATCCAAGGCTGTATCCACACTTCGCATCTAGTACCTAATCAAAACTCTGTGTACCGACTTAAACAAACAATGTTCTGGAAACATTGTGTAACATTCATTACCATAATATCAAAATCACCAGGTTTCGATAAACACCCTTTGTGGCATGGGGTGCACAATAAACTAGCTGTTGTCAGCGGCAAAGGTAACAAAAAAAATCACCACCCACTGCTTACTCCACCCCCGACCGCCCTCACCCTCGCGACCTCACTCCCCACCCATCGCCCTGCAGGCTCCTCACCACCCAAAACCTCCCTCACCACCCACGACCTCACTCACCACCCACGCGCTCTCTTACCACCCTCGACAGCTATCCCCTTGCCACCCTCTCCGGGCCACCCAGTTTGTGCCCTGCCGCCCACCTACTGAGATTTACAGCGTATAAAAGGTCTTTTGTTCTGTCTTTGGTCATGATGGACTAAATGTTTAATGAATGTACAGAGCGTGAGTGTCGACTCTTGTCATGTCACGTACATGTCATGTCATGGTGGTGGTGCTCCGTCATATCATGGGTGGTACTCCATCATGTCATGCCATGGTGGTGGTACTCCATCATGTCATGTCATGGTTGTGGTGCTCCGTCATGTCATGGGTGGTGTTCCACCATGTAATGTCATGGAGGCGTTGCTCTATCATATCATGGGTGGTGTTCCACCATGTTGCAAAGATGCTACAGGGGCGGTACACGCATTTTGCAGGAGTGGTACAGGGGTGTTACACGTACAGTACATAGTTGGTTCAGGAGTGCTACAGGGTTTGTACACACACACACACACGGTACAGAGAAGGTGCTGTGGCTCGTCGTACCTCAGGCAGGAGCAGCAGGACCAGGGGAGAGAGGGAGGGAGGGAGTAGTGTCTATCGCCACAACCCTCCACACCCAGCGACTCAACACACATTCACCCGCGCCCACACCGCCCGCGTTCACTGCCACGTGTTGCTAGTCTCTTTTTCACACAGTGCCAAATCCAACTTTGTTTTTCTTATATTATTTCGGTGATTTTACGAGTGCATTGTTTTGAGCGCCAGTGCCAGAACACAACTACACTACTGGATTCTCGACGGAGTGCCACCACCTTCACCGCCTCCCTAACTAGGATTGTGACGGTGCCATGAGTAGAGGAGGTAGGTCATGATGTTTTAAGGGTCATAGTTGAGGTCACCTGGACTTTATTTTGCTCTGTATCTTGCTTAACGTCACTAACTATGTGTAGTTTGGACAATGTTACATAAAAAAAATTATTATTCCCAGGTGTCGCTCGTCGTTCGTTGTCCATCTGTCGTAAAATTATCAATAGTGAATTTTTTCCCCTCCAACCTTCTGTTGCCGTAGTCGTCGAGGACCTCTTGAAGACCTTGAAGCAATACAGGTCTTGTTTTTGTCTGCTGCGTCCAAAATGAAACGGTAAGGGGAAGTGTTAGCGAGGCGAAATACACAGCTAAGAGTACTACAAACTTTGTTATGAATCCTTACCAGTTTTTACCACTCTGTGTCTGTTGTCAGTGGACACTAATTGCAAACATCTGTGCGGCTCTAAAACAAACACGAATCTCTCTCAGCATTTGTCGTGTGTGTGGGTTGGTGTGTGTGTGTGTGTGAGTGTGAGTGTGTATGGGTGTGTGTGTGCGTGCGCGTCGGGTGGTTGAGCTCGACGTAGGACGGATGTGTGCGTAAGCTAACCGTAGCGAAGGTCTTCCGTGTATGTGTGTGTGTGTAAGTGTGTGCGTGTGTAAGTGTGTGCGTGTGTAAGTGTGTGCGTGTGTGTGCGTGTGTGTGTGTGTATCAAGGCAGTGTAGTCACCATCTCAAACACACATTCAATGTAGGAAGATTCTAACCCCATTACCACACCACCAAACCTCCACCAAATATACGCAAAAATCATCTTTTAGCCTCCGTGAAGACAACAACAGGGAGTTATCAGTGTAAAGTGTGACCTAATGTGTTCTATTGTGACCCTAATGTGACCCGAGAGTGAGATCGAGGGATGGATGTCAACCAAAAAATCAGATATAGCAATTTTACTTCAAATACTTCAAAATATTCGATATTATGATGCTGGGATGGTATGGTGCTGGGATGATGTGATGCTGGGATGTTGTGATGCTGGGAAGGTGTGGTGCTGGGATGTTGTGATGCTGGGATGGTGTGATGCTGGGATGGTGTGGTGCTGGGATGGTGGTGTAGTGCTGGGATGGTGGTGTAGTGCTGGGATGTTGTGATGCTGGGATGGTGTGGTGCTGGGATGGTGGTGTGATGCTGGGATGGTGGTGTGATGCTGGGATGGTGTGGTGCTGGGATGTTGGTGCGATGCTGGGATGTTGGTGTGATGTTGGGATGGTGTGGTGCTGGGATGGTGGTGTGATGCTGGGATGGTGGTGTGATGCTGGGATGGTGTGGTGCTGGGATGGTGGTGTGATGCTGGGATGTTGGTGTGATGTTGGGATGGTGTGGTGCTGGGATGGTGGTGTGATGCTTGGTGGTGTGATGCTGGGATGGTGTGGTGCTCTGGGATGCCTGGGAAGTGCTGGGATGTTGTCATACTCTGATCTTTCACGTCCTCCTCTCTTCCTCCATCGTCCTCCTACACCCACGTCCTCCTCCCCCACGTCCTCCTACACCCACGTCATCTCCACCCACGTCCTCCTCATTCACCTCCTCCACCCACGTCCTCCTACACGTCATCCTACACCCACGTCATCCTACACCCACGTCCTCCTACACCCACGTCATCCTCCATCCACGTCATCCTCCACCCACGTCATCCTACACCCACGTCATCCTCCAGGCACAAGATATACGCGGCGAACCGTGGGTACATTCTTCTCAGATATCCGGTGAATTATCCCCGCCACCCTTGTCTCTTGTGATGACTCAACTGTGAACTCCTAGAGAGACTGTGATGTTGTGGTGCTGTGATGTTGTGGTGCTGTGATGTTGTGGTGCTGTGATGTTGTGGTGCTGTGATGTTGTGGTGCTGTGATGTTGTGGTGCTGTGATGTTGTGGTGCTGTGATGTTGTGGTGCTGTGATGTTGTGGTGCTGTGGTGCTGTGTTGCTGTGGTGCTGTGGTGCTGTGATGTTGTGGTGCTGTGTTGCTGTAATGCTGGGTTGTTGTGGTGCTGTGATGTTGTAATGCTGTGTTGCTGTAATGCTGTGTTGTTGTGTGATACGAGATTCTGTTGCTATAAATCTCAGTTACTACAAACCTAGGATGCTGTAGCCCCCTATGCTGTAAACCTAGGATGCTGTGGCCCCCTATGCTGTAAACCTAGGATGCTGTGGCCCCCTATGCTGTAAACCTAGGATGCTGTAGCCCCTACGCTGTAAACCCTGGGATGCTGTGGCTATGCATAAGCCTAGGATGCTGTGGTCCCTACGCTGTAAGCCTAGGATGCTGTGGCCCCCCTATGCTGGCAACCTAGGATGCTGTGGCACATGCTTGTAAACCTAGGATGCTGTATTTTACATGTAAACCTAGGATGCTGTGGCCCCTATGCTGAAGCCTAGGATGCTGTGGCTATGTGTAAACCTGGATGCTGTATTTCATAGCTGTAAACCTAGGTGTGCTGTGGCCCCTATGCTGCAAACCTAGGATGCTGTGGCCCCTAATAACATCAACCCTACAAGATGCTGTGGCCCCCCTACGCTTCTTGTAAACCTAGGATGCTGTGGCCCCTATGCTGTAAACCCTGGGATGCTGTGGCCCCCCGCTGTAAACCCTAGGATGCTGTGGCCCCTATGCTGTAAACCACAAGTGCTGTGGCCCCTATGCTGCAAACCTAGGATGCCATTTTATGCTATAGCCCTAGGATGCTGTGGCCCCTATGCTGCAAACCCCTAGGTTCTTTGGCAGCCCCTATGCTGCAAACCTAGGATGCTGTGGCCCCCTACGCTGTAAGCCTAGGATGCCCAATGCCCCTTTCATAATAATACTGTGTACGTGTGTTTGCTGTGCCTAAGTCGTTCCTTCAGAAGTTCATAATGTGATAGGTAAATTAATTATATGTTTGTAGGAGTATTAATCAGTTAATCTCTCTCTCTCTCTCTCTCTCTCTCTCTCTCTCTCTCTCTCTCTCTCTCTCTCTCTCTCTCTCTCTCTCTCTCTCTCTCTCTCTCTCTCTCTCTCTCTCTCTCTCTCTCTCTCTCTCTAATCTGTAATGTATCATGGGATATGTCCTTATTGATAATCTGTAATGTATCATGGGATATGTCCTTATTGATAGCCAGAAACCTAGTCAATTTAACCTTAACCTAAAGTAAATAATCATTAATCTAACCTAAACCTAACCTAACATAACCTCCTTAACCTCCAACCAAAGTAACCTAACCTAACCTAACCTCCTTAACCTCCAACCAAAGTAACCTAACCTAACCTAACCTCCTTAACCTCCAACCAAAGTAACCTAACCTAACCTAACCTCCTAACCTCCAACCAAAGTAACCTAACCTAACCTCCTTAACCTCCAACCAAAGTAACCTAACCTAACCTAACCTCCTTAACCTCCAACCAAAGTAACCTAACCTAACCTAACCTCCTTAACCTCCAACCAAAGTAACCTAACCTAACCTAACCTAACCTAACCTAACCTAATCAACCTCATACATATAAATAAACCCGGGGTATTTGATGAAGATATGGGTCAGTTTTCTTGCATGTTTGTGTGTAAGGATTAGGGATACAGGTTCGCTTCCTGGGATTACGACTACAGGTCCATGTCTAGGGATTAGGGATTGGAGGTCCACTATTGGGATTAGTTTTACTCTGCTAGACGTTTGTTGCTCTCAATAGCCGACCTACAGGAATTGCTATATATACATGAAACAGGTGTGTGTGTGTGTGTGTGTGTGTGTGTGTGTGAAAAAGACGTTCATAAACCATTATAAACACATTATAAATGTCTTCTCTTCACACACACACACACACACACACCTAATAATTACCATTAAACACAATAACTAAACCCAGGATGAACTACTCACTGCGGTATCACGTTAAATTATCAAGTTTCAATGTAGATATTTTGTTTTATTTCCATCTTCTTTTTTTTACCAGGAGAACTAGAGTTAAATGTCCAGTTTCTCACGATATCAGGTTCATTCAGGCTCTCTTAAGGTCTCCCCAACGTCTGAGGACCTGTTTTTTTTTTTTCCAAGGGTTGGTAAGTTAACACGATGTTACCTGAGCTTCCATTGGTTATTTGTACGGTGTTACGGCTCATCTTAAAAGCTCACAGGTAGGACAACGCAGGTAAATTAATTACATCCCCATAAACACACTGTTATCATCTATTGTACACACACGCACACACACACACACACACACCAAAATCTGTCTTGCAAGCTTTTGAACAGCTAAAATGACCTCTTAAGCGTACGTCCAGTACATACCGTTCGGGGATAAGCTTAATATTGTATTATAGAACATTGAGTTAAAAAGTCGAAAAGGAGTTGAATATGTGTGTGTGTGTATGTGTATGTGTGTGTGTGTGTGTGTGTGTGTGTGTGTGTGTGTGTGTAGAGATGCAGGTATAATCAATATATATGCAGTATATATAATAAACGCAGGTCACATAGTGCACTTCCGGGGTGGGTGGGACATGCGGCTACTTGTGTTGTTTAGTGAGCCAAGTGATTATGGCCACCTCTCAATGACCTAACTGCTGGATGAAGTAAGTGTTTGAGGATCTTATGTATTTCAAGTGAGGCTAAACGTAGTCATTGGCCCATTTCTCAGTGAATCTTACTCCTGTGATTCGCTCGTTACTACAGGTACAGGTATGCAGTCTACAGGCCGAACTTAGGGGAAATTATATAAATTTACGTTGGGAGCGGTAGGAAGATAAAGGGAGCCGCGTGGACCCACGGGGAGAAATAGGGAGCCGTTGGGATACTCAGAGAACCATGGGAGCCGTGAGGAGCTGTAGGGAGCCGTGAGGAGCTGTAGGGAGCCGTAGGGAGACAAGAGGCCCTGAGGATCCATGAAGAGACTTAAGGAGCCATAGGGAGCTGTAGTGAGACTTAGTGAGTCCCAAGGATTCATGTGGAAACTAAGGGACCCCAGGGGATCCATGAGTAAAGTTAAGGAGCCCTGAAGAGACTTTGGGAGCCCTAAGAGAGAGACTT